AGGGCTGGGGATACAGTACTGTGCAGGAAGCTTCCCAAGATAGGTATGCTCCACTCTAAACACTAGCATACCACCATATGACAGCTCAGAGCTGGTCTTAATTGCCACCAGTTTCTTAATATGCAAACTGGCAGTAATTCATTAAGAACTAATTGCTAGTCCCGCATGACCACGCTCTTTTCGCATTGTGACAGCAGTTGTGGGGAGAAGATCCCCTGCCCACTGTCACAGGGAGGAGGCAGGAGCTGGAACATGTTACAGGTTGCACCCTAAAAATGGGTGCAACCTGTAACATGTTCCAAAGGTAAACGTATCCTTCAGCAAAAAGTGAAATTTCTATTGCAGGAAATGTCTAAAACATATCTTACTGCAGACTTTTGAGAAAATCATGGAGCCAATTGCACAAGCAGGAAATTACATTTTAAGGGGCTTTACATATGCCAATGGAGTACAGAACTACCTTGTTGTCTTAGACCCCTTTCACATGGGGAGGACTCTGTCCCGATCAGCAGGGGATCTGCTCACAGATCCCCTGCTAATTAGAGAAGAGCGGGTGGATGACCCAACCATGTCTGTACTATGAGAGGCCAGGTGTAAATGACTTTTCTGTTTACACCTGACTACATGCCTATCCGATCCACCTAAACAGGAGGATGGGTACCCTTCCATTTTTTTTTTTGGGGGGGGGGGGGGGGTTTAGTGGACTGGACCCGAAGGTAGGCGGGTATAAACAGACTCAAGTCCATTTACATCCATCTGTCCATCCTGAAAAACTGATGGGTGGTTTAATAATATTGAATTGAAACCATGGCTTGTGTAGCAATTTACATTTTTTAATGAATGTGGAGTTCTCCTTTAAGTACTTTAGGCATTCAAGCTTTGCAGTTATCCTTTATAGTCAGCCAAGCAGGCACTGTTTTTAAACTAGATTCCTTCTGGGTGATATATGTCAGCGTACGAAGAACTGTATTTTTATTTTTTACCTTTCAGTTAAAAATGTGTGTGGAGGAATAACCAGCCAAAATAGACATACAGGGTGTGCTTAAAAATAAAAACAAAAAATAAAACATATTCTCAGTATATTCTAACACATCGCCTCTTAAAACATAACAAAAAAAATACACCTACACAGAGGTTCTCACTGAATCAACCTACAGCAATCAGCCAAATTGCAGGGTACCACAACAAAAACTAGTGTGCTTTTTAAAGTTCAGCCAATCAGCTGCCATTCACTAGACATATAAACCTGAAGGCATTATGTAATAACCACTTATTAAAAAGAAGTGTAAATGATGTGTGATTGTACTTGGCAGCCTTTAGGTTGCAGCCTGTAGGTTTATTCTTCAGTATAAAGAGCGGTACTGATCTAATTTTTGCCACTTAAAGTGATACTAAACACACACTGTTTCCCCTTCTTTCTTATGTATATTTTTTCCTAATCGAATATACAGCTGTCACGTGACCCAGATTTTCCTCTGCCTGTCTGTAGGAAACCGGGCAGGAGGCGCTTCTAACCTCTGCTGTTGGTCACGCTCAAAGAAAAAAAAAAAAACAGCCTTTGGGATACAGAGTAAAAATAAATCATTAATATCAAACTGTTTTAAATTGTCATGAAAATATATATTTGAAATCAAATCTTTATTATTTATTAGCAATAACAAGGTATGGGTGGATTTCTGCCAGTCACAGGCTGTGTCATGTTCCTCCTGTCTCCATCTTAGAGTACCAGGGTGGTGAAATCTCTATCAATCAAGATGTAATATTCCACCCCAGTGTAGCTGGTTAGTGGGCACATGGAGGAGGTGGGAGGGAGTGGGCTGTCATTTATCCAGAGCATATATGCCCACCTGTGTGACTCTATAGTCACATGTGCTGCTCAGATGTGATAGGGAGGAAAATCTTTAGCATAGAAACTCACTGAAAACTGAGCATGTGCAGTAGCTGACTACACTGCTCTGCAAAATCTGCAACTGCATTGGGGACATGGACTGAGGGGGGAGATAGAGAACAACAGGATCAACCAGGTTTTTTGCAAAATACAGAAAACAAATCCCATAGTGACTGAGGGAGTATACACAGCTGTAATATAGCGCTTATTGATAGTTTTTATGATGTGGGTTTAATGACACTTTAAGAAGATCTGTGCTTAATCAATAAAACCATATAGGTGATGTAGGCTGGCCATGCCAGTAAGCAGTGAAAAGGACTTCAGCCTTGCTACCTATGTACATGCAAGTTACTGCAGTAGCTTCTTAGGTCTCAGCCCCTTTGGCAGCCCTATAATTTGAAAAGCCACTCCTAGCTTAGCCCAAAGACTTTTATAATGACAGCACATTGCCATAGCTGCAAGAACTTAGAGAAATGATGTACAAGCTGCATCAGAACATTCTAGAAGGCTGCAGAAGAAATCCAGCTTTACTGCTGCATTTATGATGATGGAAGTCAGCAGAGCTTCATCTTCTGCACTGAAATTCCCTTGCAATGTGGACAGCCTAGTTGCCCTTAGTTATCACCCTCTAGTGCAGTGGTTTCTCAACCTGTGGGTCGCGACCCCTTTGGGAGTCGAACGACCCTTTCACAGGGGTTCCCTAAGACCATCAGAAAATACATATTTCCGATGAGTAAAGAGCAGCTACTGTGTAGAAAGCAGCTACTCTGTTAAAAGCAGCTACTGTGTTGAAAGCAGCAGTATTGGAGGTAAAACAACACTCATGAATTATAATTACTAGGTAAATAATTTTATGGTTGGGGGTCACCACAACATGAGGAACTGTATTAAAGGGTCACGGCATTAGGAAGGTTGAGAACCACTGCTCTAGTGACTTCGCTGTTGCAGGTGGCCTTGCAAATCTGACAGACATAAGTGACACCTGTATTATTCGAGACAATGAAAGTACAAGAGCCACATCCATCTCAAATACAACTGCTCAGCTCTATTTTCTTTCCAGTTGTGCATTATCTGAGCGGATATCTGTTGGTCTTGAATGTCAGTAAAGGCTTATCACTGACACGTAGTCCCTTATGTCTAGTCACTGTGACAGCAGCAGTATTTGTATCTGCCTTTATATTCTATATTTCCATAGTAGTAGACCATAGAGTCTGAAACATCTGGGAGTTTTCGCAATTGGCAAATATGAATACTGTATCCCCTGTGAGTCACGAGGAAGAATTTGGTTACACATTGAAAAGTTACATATTTGTCTTAAAGTAGAACAAAAGGATTTTTTTTTTCTAGTTTGGATAGAGTGGAGAGGGATTTGAACCCCGGTCAGTTTTTATTGTTGTCTTTGCCCCGTTACGGAGATTCACTCTCTCTATTTGTTATATTTTACAATTAGCATTGAAAGTAAAAGAAAATCCCAGATTTTGAGTTGTCCCCAGAAAAAGTGATAGAGGGGAAATCTTCCAATGGGGATAGTAGTTCTGGTAGCATGGGGGCCCCCAAAAAATTCAATTAAAGTGTTACTAAACCCACAATAGTAAAATCCATCTGTATTTGCAGTAGAACATGCTTGTTATACTCACTGTGAAACCTAAGGGGTTAATTTTCTGCATTGTGTACAAAAGGCTGTTTGATCCGGTCTTCTCTGCTCCTCCCTTTCTTCTATTGTCCCCTATCATCTGCTGATAGTACAGAGCTCTAGGAGTCACTCAGCACCTGCCCAGTTTAGTGTGTATTACTAGAGAGTTTGATTTTTTTTCTTTTGGAGGGTGCTTGTGATCAGTACATGGTCAATCAGCACTGTCTATACAGAGGGTCAGGGTTTATGTGGTCTCATAGGACAGTTAGAGCAGAATGAAAGCTCCTCCTACAAGAATAACCAGTGCTCTGCTGGACACTGATAGAAGTCAGAAGACTGCTCTAACTACTAAAATAATTGCATTTCCATGTTCTGTGTACGGTGGGAGACCAGATATGAATGCAGAGTCCTGGGTTTAGTAACACTTTCATTTGCAGGGATTTCCTTCTCACTTCCTGTTTGGTGAGATTTCCCTTCGCTTTCTGTCCCATAGCCAAAGGGACACAAATGGTGGAAACACAAATCTGACAGGTGTTAGAACACTTCCTTGCTCTATTCAAAATGGAAAAAAAATGTGTCTAATGTTGATTGAGAGAGGTTAGCTCTGCGTCCAAGAACTATAAAGTGGTTGTAAAAGCAGATCGTTTTTTTTTTTTACCTTAACGCATTCATATGACCCCAATTCCAAAAAATATTGGGATGCTATGTTAAATCTACATAAAAACAGAATGCAGTGATTTGCAAATCTCAAACTCATATTTTATTCACAATAGAAAATATATCAAATGTTTAAACTTACAAAATGTACCATATAAAAAAAAAAAACAAAACGTAATTTTGAAGTTGATGGCAGCAACACGTCTCAAAAAACAGGGCCATGTTTACCACAGTGTATCGACCTCTCTTCTTTTAACAACATTCTGTAAACAACTGGGAACTGAGGAGAGGAGTTGCTGGAGTTTTGAGAGAGGAATGTTGTCCCATTCTTGCCTGATATAGGATCATAAAATTCATTAACCACGTGCCTACCAGGCACTTATACCCCCTTATTTACCAGGCCAATTTTCAGCTTTCAGCGCTGCCGCACTTTGATTGACAATTGCGCGGTCATGCAACATTGTACCCATATGAAATTTTGATCATTTTTTTCTCACAAATAGAGCTTTCTTTTGGTGGTATTTAATCGCCACTGGGCGCTTTACTTTTTGCGCTATAAATAAAAAAATTGCAAAAAATTTGAAGAAAAAAAAAAGTTTCTTTGTTTCTATTATAAAATTTTTCAAACAGGCATTTTTTCTCCTTCACTGATGTGCGTTGATGAGGCAGCACTGATAGGCAGCACTAAAGGGCACTGATAGGCAGTACTAATGAGGTGGCACGGATAGGCGGCACTGATAGACAGCACTAATGAGGTGTCACGGATAGGCGGCACTAATATGCAGCACTGATAGGTGACACTGATGATGGGTACTGATAGACGGCACTGACTGGCATCACTGCTGGGCACTGACTGGCAGCACTGACTGGCACAACCCCTGGTCACTGACTGGTGGCGCTGACTGGCAGCACTGCTGGGCTGCACTGGTGGGTGGGCACAGGTGGGTGGCACTGCTGGGCACAGGTAGGTGGCACTTCTGGGCACAGGTGTGTGACACTGCAGAGTGGCACAGGTGGGTGCATTGCTGGGCACGGGGTGGGTGATCTGCTGGGCACAGGTGGGCGGAGCTAGTGGGCACACTGCTGGGCACAGGTGGGCGGAAATTGCGGGGTGGCACTGCTGGGCACCGATCATCAGGGCACTGATCATCAGTGCCCTGATGATTGGTGCCGATCCCCGCTCTGACAACTGCCGGTTCTCGGCAGTACTTTCCTCACGATCTGACAGCGTGAGGAAAGTGCAGCCGAGAACCGGCACTTGCATTTCCCTCTGATCAGCGTGTCATTGGACACCGCTGATCACGTGGTAAAAGGCCGCTGTGATTGGCCTTTTACCACATCACGTGATCAGCTGTGTCCGTAGGACACAGCGATCATGGAGATCGCCGGGTGCGAGCCCCCTGGGATGCGCAGGAGAGCGCGTTCTGGGAGGACGTCATATGACGTCCACTCAGAACTGGCCGGCCGCAGTGCAGCCGTCATTCAGCTATCTGCGGACGGCAACTAGTTAAACTGTATTTTGTCCTGAAAATTTGCATTTTAAAAATGGCTGTGCAAATATCGTGTGATATAAAAAATTGCAACAACCATGATTTTATTCTCTAGGACCTGTTTAAAAAATGTTTGGTGGTTCCCATGTATATGAGAAATGTCAGAACTGTCCCGGTTTTAAGTAAAGTATAACTGAACCCAAAACTTTTTTTTTTTTTTAAGTTTTGGGTGGCATAGAGATGGATTAGAACACCTGTCAGATTTTATTGCTGTCCGTGCCCCTGTTAAGGATATTCACCATCCCTATTTGTCCAGTTTATCATCAATGAAAGTAAAAGAAAATTCCAAATTTGGGGTTGTCCCCAGAAAAGTAAGAGGGGAAATCTTCCAATGGGGATACTAATTCTGGTGATCAGGGGGTCCCCAAGGGATTCCCTTAATTTATTGGGATTTCCTCTCACTTCTTGCTTGGCTATGAGACAGGAAGTGAAGGGAAATCTCTGAAATGGGACACACATGGCAGAAACAAAAAAATCTGACAGGTTATAACCTTTCCTAACCTTCCAAAATTTAAAAAAAAAAAAAAAACAAAAAAACACATTTTGCCTCTAGTTCTGCTTAAAAGAACCTGTCCAACTAAATGAAAATGTTCAGCACTAAGTGAAGTTTGGTGGGCAAGCCATGTGTTAACTCTTTTTTTTTTTTTTTTGGGCTAATCCAACTGAAGAACCTCCATGCCAGTACCTTGCATTTTTAGATTTTGTGTTCACATCTGCCATCAGCATTGAAGAGGTTTCAGGTGTGGGAAGATCTGGAAAGTTGAAACTACCCGTAAAATGAAAGGATGGGAAAAACTGGAAAGTCATCTGATCAATGCATATTTTTCTTATTAATAAATTTAGTTAATCCAGAATTGCTGTTTATTAGCACAATTGTTCACAGAGGCTTAAAAGTATAATTTGAGTGTCTCAGCCCATAGTCCTAAAATGAGGCTTATTTTTTTTTAATTAGTAAATGACATACAATAACCTACTACTGTTTTGAAGAAAGTAGTACTTTCTTTGGTCGAGCTCACCATAAAAAGGACTTGCTTTCATTATCAAAAAAATACTTCCTCCTGCTGACCTGCTTTTGAAAATGCTAATTGCTTGGATGTCATGTCCCAGGAAAATTATGTAGACTTGTATTCCTGACTTTGATCAGAAAATATTTACCGGTAATCCAAAGGATTAGCCTTACACCCAAGCAATTATTTTCATTAAAAAGGTCAGCAGGCCAGGTATTTCTGTAAAGAGTTGTTTTGCTTTAACGACTTGCCCTCCTGAGGATTTACCCCCCCTTCCTGACCAGGCCATTTTTTTTGCGTTACAGCTCTGCGTTAATTTAACTGACAATTGCGCAGTCATGCGACACAGCTCCCAAATGAAATTTACACCCTTTTTTTCCACAAATTGAGCACTGAGCTTTCTTTTGGTGGTATTTGATCGACTGTGCATTTTTTATTTGTTGTGCTATTAAAAAAAAAAATATATATTTTGAGAAAAAAAACAATATTTTTGACTTTTTACTATTAAACATGTCCGGTAAAAAAAGTGTTTAAATCAAATTTCATCATAAATGTACGCCAAAATGTATTCTGCTACGTCTTTGCTAACAATAAAAATCCCAATACGTGTAAATTGATTTACGTGAAAGTTATAGCACTTACAAAGGGTGGTGTATATACACTGGGATTTTTATTTTTTTATTTTTTATGTTTACTAGTAATGACAGCGACCAGCGACTTATAGCGGGACAGCGGCGGACATTCTGACACTGGGGAGAACTGACTTAGTGCTTTTTTTTGCTCTGATCACTGTATTGGTGTCACTGACACTGACACTGTACTAATGGCACTGGGCAGGAAGGGGTTAACATGAGGGGCGATCAAAGGGTTAACTGTGTGCTGGGAGCGTTTCACTAGGGGGCCGTGTCAGTGTGCTTCACTGTAATCAGCCATCCAAAGCAGTGTGTCCAAACTGACAGGAAGGAGAACTGTTAGTAAACAAAACAGTTCTCCTCCCCATCGGAGATCTTCAGAAATCACCGGGCGCCGGCGAGTAATCACTGGCCGTGACCCAGTGATTGACAGCCGCGAATGGCAGCACACGTCTCCTATCCTGAAATGCAAAATTACTTTTATACACACACACACTTTTGCGCACCCGTGCCGCCCTGTAGCAGTTTTTCTAAATTAGATTGCCCCCTCATCTCTTTAAACTCAGACACATGTTTAGTGGCTATTGAATTATGAATAAATAATGTGGTAAATTTTCTAAAATTCCTCATCTGCCACAGAGCTGGTGTAATTCACGCGTCTGGTTTAAAAGGAACGAGGTGGGAACCTTATACGCAGGGCTACAATCAGAGCATGTTACAGCGCGTTGCATTAAAGCAGATCCTTCTTATAGAATGTGCCTTGTATTAATGTAGCATTTTACCACATTGTGACAACACAATAGCTACTTAGAGTGCTAGATTGGGGACAGGTGAATATAAGTGGCTAAAGGAGCTCACAGGCACATTTTAAGTCAGAAGGCAAGCCATTCCCTCAGTAATGAAATCAACAGTATGTAAAGATGTCAGATTATCCTAGCCTCTGATCAATCATGGCAAGGCTGGGTTATAAACTACATGCATGGGCGCCTGCAGTTATCCTCTATGTAATAGTTTTTTTGGAAATTAGTCCATTAGCTGGGCTGGATCAATATACTGTTTCGCACAAGACATGTGTATTGCAGCCACACTGGGACAACAAAAGTGCCAGAGAACACATGCGTGAAATGAATTTAAACTAGAAGGCCTCATGCACACTGGACATTATGAAAACACCAATAGCATTTCTGTGTTAAAAACATGAGTTTTGCCGCATTAGCATTTTTTTAGTAAGAAAACACCTCTTTGATATTTTAACTCCCACTTCCCCCCCAATGCATCTCTGAATAGTCACTATGTAGTTTGTCATTTTCAGAGCACAGAAAGGACTGTTGTTCAGGAGCCAACTTTCTTTTTCTTGCTACATCCATTATGGATCCTGTAATGCAGAAAATCGATGAGGCTATGCTACCGATTCTGAGAAGCACCTGTCGACGATGATTCTGGACCTATCCTTTGATATCCCGTCATGCATCCTCCATATAAGGAATTTCCTGCTTGCACAGAGTTCTGCAGAGACAATGAGGCAGCAAAGAACATTGGGGAATGTTCCTGTTTGCACATAGCACAGGTCAGACAGTGAAAGCATGAGCAGCAAAGCCCACTGGGAAGCCAAGGACCTTGAAGAAACAGTTCAGCCAGCTGAGACAATGAGGCAGCAAAGTACATTGGGAAAAGGAATTTCAGGTTTACTGCCTCATTGGCTCAGCTGACTGAACTGTGTGCAAAGGACACTGGAAAATGTTCCTGTTTGCACACAGCACAGGTCAGACAATGAAAGCAAGAGCAGCAAAGCACACTTTGAAAAGTACAAATTTACTGTAGATAAATGGCGGTGTCAAAAAAGTTTGCTTTAAAAAAATCTTGAGTCTCAAAAAACTCAAACACAGGATAGCCGAGTTTTATAGCGGTATTGCGTTTTTAACATCTGAAAAACTCCTCTTCAAACGCAGTAGTTCTGGGGGGTTTTCCAGCTTGAAAACACCCCAGCCAAAAAACACTGATTAAAGCCTATGTGTGTATGGACACATAGGATAACATGCTGTGGAGTATACTGGCTGCAGAAAAAAAAAAAGGTAACTAAAAGGTAAAAGGTTTCTTTTATTAAAATAATAATTGTATTGTGTTTAGAGGCAGAAAAAAAAAACTCTTTAACAAAAATTCCCCTGCCAATAAACTCCTGAAAACTCCTCTAGTGTGCATGGACACACACCAACATGGAGGGGAGTTAACAGGCAGAGAAAAATAAAAGCTCAAAACAGCCCAAATGCCTGCAGGAGCAGATTATTTGAGCTGCATTGTGCACTAGGCCAAACTTGTGTACGTAAATTCTCTCTATCTGAACATTTTTTTTTCTGCCGAGGAAACTGGTGTTTTTTTTTCAGCCCAGTGTGCGTGGACCCTTCGGCTAAAAGCCAGCATGTGCAGTTCCTGCCCATCCTTAGGGTTCATGTACACTGCAGCTGATAAACTGACATTCAGGAGCTTTTCTGCGTTTTTCAGCAGCCCCTGAACTCTCCCTAATGTTTTCCTATGTGTCCATGTACACTATGTCATTTACAGACGTTTACAGGCAGTTGAGTTTACAGTCATTTTTTTTGAACGCACCAAACTTGCATTCAGAAGTAGATTTTATCAGCGGTTCAAACACTTGTAAACGTGGCTAACCACGTTTAAAAGTGTTTTTTAACTGTTCCATATCCAAATGCTGTCCAGAGCCTTTTTTTCATCTTCAGAAGTGCATGCAAAGTGTTTTCCATGTAAAAAATGGTAGAACGTGGCGCATTATGCTCATGATGGGATCCATAGTGAATACAACCAGAAAAGACAGGTCATCTCAACACATACTGCTCTCTCTGCTTCTGCTCTCTCCATTTCTCTCAAAATGTCTGAAATAGTTTTTTTTTTTTTTACAGTTTTTCAGTGCATTCTGGGCATTTGGGAAGGTCTCCTGAGGTTCTTAAAAAAAACGCTTCTAAACACAAATGCTCATAAACGCGGTATGCAAACGCGGCTAAACAGACGTTTTTTAACCTACGTTTTCCAGCAGTCAGTTTCCATGGTTCAGAAGTGTTTTCACACGTCCCGTGTACATGGAGCCTTAGTAATAAAAGATGAGACTACTACAGCATATGTAAATTCAGTCATAGATAGATTTTTTTCTTTTTGCACTACTGTATTCTCGTAGCAGGTCTCCTGCTTCCAGAATACACCGATTAGTGCTGCAGCAGCATATATTACAGTCTTGTTTGCGTGGAGTTGATCACTAGAGCAACTCCTCTCAAATGGAAACAGCTGTACCTAGATCAAAACTCTGCTGGTTTCTGCTGAACCAGATTAATTTCAATCCATGTATGGCCAGCTTAAGCGCTGTCTGGTGGGCCGAGCTATCCTAGGCTTCTTGGATCTCTTGGAATGCAGATATTGTGATTTCCCGGTCATAGTTCCACCTCCTAGGAGTTTTGCATATTCTCATGCGATGTTCCAAACCCTTCAGTTACATGTACCATTAAATCTTGTCAGCAGAGAACTCACCACCACAGATGCTGGAGACCCTGAAATCCCCGGGGACTAACAAGCACTGAGATATTGGCAAATATTTTATATTTTGTAAAAGCTTCTAGTATCTAAAAGAATATCCCATCACTTACCTGTTATATTTGAAAAACACACATATAAAGATGAGCACATTTTTGTTCTAGAAAAAAAATACAATATATGCAAATATGACTCAAAACAACTCGAGTGTCTTGAGTGTTCCAATTCAATTCATATTAATATCTACCAAAAATTAAAGTCTGGGTTCAGGCATGATCTTTATTTCTGGTATTGTAATTTTTTCATCTTTATATTTACAGAAAAATGCCATAGCTGCTAGTATACTTTTCTCTGCCAGTCCTGCAGTCATGGGCATAAAAAGCATTAGGTAAACTCCAGCCAGCCAGAGATCCTCAGCCTTGGTAGCAATGTGGTTTCCAGACGACTCATCAGTATGCAAGAAGAACAGATGCGGAGACAACATCCACCTCCCTTCATAGGAAACCACTGCCTGAACATATTCAGAAAAACTTTACTTATAGTCCTCAAGTTAAAATGTTTCAGGATGAGTCACCATCAGACTGGGCTTGTAATATAAAATACCCATATAATAATTAAAACAAAAATGTATTTACAATAAAAGGAGTCCAGGTACTTTTATAATGACAGTCCTGGGAAGTCAGGAGATGCAGTCCCAGTCTCAGAGAAGCAGGCAGCTCTTGTGCTTCCTTTTCATCCTCTCTTCCTTTTTCATGCCATTTAGTGCAATGAGCGTGGCTTCTCTGAACACATTATCTACATTCTCCTGAAATTTGGCCGAACATTCCAGGTATTCCTCAGCTTGTATGTTTTTGCATGTAGCTTCACCCTTTAAACAAGAAGTATGTTATTATAGATATAAACTAATGACTGAACAATAAACTGTGGATAAACTGAACCAAAAGCAACAATGTTCCCTATTCAAATTAGTAGATTCCCACAGATATTGCACGGTTATGTAAATACATACTGTATGTATCATTGTTTTGGCACACTCCGTTGTTCACATATTCTTGTTTTATTAAAAATAAATAACTTACCCAGCACTTGTACTTTACCGCTTTCAATGCTGCGGTGTCCTGCTCTCTCAGTGCAGCTTCTCTGAACAGAACAGTCCTCACAGAAAAGAGTTAACAGTGGACAGTGCAGTCCAGAGTCCAGGGGGCGTGTAGAGAGGAGCAGTGGTAGCACCTTGCTATCTTACGACTATGGGGCTGTGTGTTTCAATTGATGCATACAGTGTAGGGAGACAAGGCTAGTCTCTGCATGCAAGGATAGCTCCACAGGACACTGCAAGAGTAAGGAGCCATCCTGACACAAGAAAACCTGGGGCAGCGATCATGGCACCAGTTTAAACTGGAACATAGGCAAGTATTAAAGGATACTGAAGCTGTACATATAAAGCAGTATTAAACCCAAAACCAAAAATGTAATATACTGCAGCTAGCCATCAGATTTATTTTTTTTTAGGCATTTTCCCTCTGTTTTCCCCGGTGATCAGTAACACACCTCCTGTATTAGAGCGCCCCCCATTCTGGATGAAGGAGCACAGGGGCACCATTGCACAACAGAATTTTAAATCTTGGGGGAGAGGAGTGTTAGACGTACTTGCAGTTTTAGATACACTAACAAGTTCAAGCCAAACTCCAGCTCACACTTTTAAGCAGTTACAGCAACAGTTTTGTTCCTTTTAGGATAAAGGTTTTACAGAAACAAATAAAATCTGATCATTGTAAGCACTCCTGCTAGTGTTAAATGGAGTCTCATCTCTGTAACTACTGCATTCTGCTGGAGAGCTTCTTCTTTTCAAATACAAACTTACTTGCAGATGAAAACAGAAGAAAGAAAGCCTAAAAAGGAGATGGAATGCAGCCATCGTATCTAAGAATTGGTAAGCTGCAATATAATAAATTGTTTGCTTTTGGGTTTAAATACCAATTTAAAGCTGAGTTCCACTCAAAAGTGGACGCTACGCTTATTTTCCTCCTCCACTGCCATATTTGGCACCTTTTGGGGGGGGGGGGGGGTGAGAGCGGGTACCTGGTTTTGACAGATACCCGGCTCCCACTTATGGCTTAGTTCGCCGCGGCGAAGTGAGCCAGAAGTTCGGCCCCTTCCTCCCTCCCTCCCACAGTCTCCTGGGGACTTTCACAGGTCCCAGGAGACTGCCGGACCAATTAGGAAGCGCAGCGCGACTCGCGCATGTGCAGTGGGCACCAGGCTGTGAAACCACAAGCTGTCACAGCCTGGTGCCCACAGTTGAGATTCTGCGCCGTGGAGGAAAGAAGGGGAAAAGGGATGGCGTGGATGAGAACATTGCTGGATTCCAGGACAGGTAAGTGTGTGTTTATTAAAAGTCAGCAGCTACAAAAACGGCTGGAACACCACTTTAAGTAAGTGATCAAATCAGCTCCTGAAAGTGCTTAAGAAAACAGAGGGTTTATTATCACTAATATGAAAGACATAATTCATCCTTGCTGCAACCAGTTCTGTTCCAAAGTCACATAACTAGTTAAATGGAGATGACCTGTTCCTAAGTCACATAACTAGTTAAATGGAGATGACCTGTGTGTGTGTGCTTAAGTGATTGTAGTACAGCATACACTCATCGGCCACTTTATTAAAGTACACCTGTTCAATTGCTTGGCGACACATATTGCTAATCAACCAATCACATGGCAGCAACTCAATGCATTTAGTCATCTAGACGTGGTGAAGACCAAGCATCAGAATGGGGAAGAAAGGGGATTTAAGTGACTTTGAATGTGGCATGGTTGTTGGTGCCAGACGGGCTGGTCTGAGTATTTCTAAAACCGATGATCTAATGGGATTTTCACACACAACCATCTCTAGGGTTTATAGAGAAAGGTCAGAAAAAAAAGAAAATATCCAGTGAGCAACAGTTGTGTGGACGAAAATGCCTTGTTGATGTCCGAGGATATTGAACAGACAGGTTCGAGATGATAGAAAGGCAACAGTAACTCAAATAGCCACTTGTTACATCCCAAGTTATGCAGAATACCATCTCTAAATGCACAACACCGAACCTTGATGCAGATGGACTACAGCAGCAGTTGACCACACCGGGTGCCACCCCTGTCAGCTAAGAACAGGACACAGAGGCTCACCAAAATTGAACTATAGAAGATTGGCAAAAAGTTGCTTGGTCTGATGAGTTTTGATTTCAGCTGCGACAGAGGGTAGGGTCAGAATTTGGTGTAAAAAAAGCACGGATCCATCCTGCCTTGTATCAATGGTTCAGGCTGGTGGTGTAATGGTGTGGAGGATATTTTCTTGGCACACTTTGGGCCACTTATTACCAATTGAGCATCATTTAAATACCACAGCCTACCTGAGTATTGTTGCTGACCATGACCATCCCTTTATGACTACAGTGTACCCATCTTCTGATGGCTACTTCCAGCAGGATAATGCACCATGTCACAAAGCTCAAATCATCTCCAACTGGTTTCTTGAACATGACAATGAGTTCACTGTACTCCAGTGGCCTTCACAGTCACCAGATCTCAATCTAATAGAGCATCTTTGGCATGTGGTGGAATGGGAGGTTTGCATCATGATGTGCAGCCGACAAATCTGCACCAACTGTGTGATGCGATCATGTCCATGTGGACCAAAATGTCTGAGAAATGTTTCCAACACCTCGTTGAATCTATGCCAAGAAGAATTAAGGCAGTTCTGAAGGCAAAAGGGGGTCCAACCCGGTACTAGCAAGGTGTACCTAATAAAGTGGCCGCTGAGTGTAAATACACATGTGCTGTATCTGGAAAATGTAACTTCTGGTGAATCAGTACAAGTTAGGGGATGGATACAAGAAATGATTCCTCGGAGCACAGAGTATGGCACAGCTGTGGCTCTGCAGGAACAGGCCTAATTTTGATCCGTATGTGGCTGGCCTCATCTGACAGAAGTCAATCGTTAGATCAACTTCTGTCGAACAGACAAGATTGAAAACTTTTCATCAGCACTTGGCTGCAGCCTCTGATCGGTGTATTCGGACAGCGGAGACTGCCAAAATACAATGTCCCAAGCAGGGGGAATTCCTCCACCCAACTCACTAGTGAGGATGTAGGAATGATGTAGGAATGTCCACTGGCTGAATGAAAAAAACAAACACAAACAAAAAAAAAAAAAATTCACCTTTTGGCGAAAAATAATAAAAAGCACATTTTGTTTTCAGGTAAAAAAAAAAATTTTAAAAAGTGCATTTATTATTTTTTTGTTGCAGGAGCCTGTAAAGCATTGCACCAGCAGACCTGCAGTATATCTGCTTGCCCGAACATCCTGTATGAGCAAGCCAATACACTCTGACAGGAGGAATCAATGAACTACCACAGCGCTCCACAGCATCATGGTAGTTCATTGAGAGCTACAGGCCGACAGCCGCTAAGGCTGTCAGGATTTGTAATTCTCTCATTCACAGAGGACTGTGAATGAGTGACATGGCGGGAAGGGCGGTTTTTACATTTTGACAGCTGACGGGAGAAAATCACGCAGCTAGCTGTCAAAGCAGCGGCCTGTCCTTTCAGAACAGGTTACACCCTGAATATGGGTGTAACATGTATTGAAAGGTGCTCTTATCCTTTAACTATACAACTGGTAGACTGTCAAGAAAGGCCACCAAGTGACCTATAACACTCTGGAGGATTTACAAGCCTCAGTGGCTAAGATATTATCGATACAACTTTTGCATGGGTGCTTCACCAGTTACAGCTTTATGGGAGAGTAGCAGAATAAAGCCACGGTTAACTAAACCTCACATGGCACCGTGCCTGCATTATAAAAGAGTACAGGAGGCTCTGAAGTCAACTAGAATAATGTTCTATGTCCGAGTACAGGAGGCTCTGAAGTCAACTGGAATAATGTTCTATGGTCCGAGTACAGGAGGCTCTGAAGTCAACTGGAATAATGTCAAACATGGAGTTTGGTCTGCTGACCACAAATCTCAGTTTTGGTCTTACTAGACCATAGAATATAAGCCAAAACAATGTACATAATCGTAAATACATCAAACCAAACAAAGTATAGTAGTGGCTGCTTTACTTTTTGGCAATGCTTCTTTGCAGTAGGCCTTGGATGGTTTGTTAGGGTTGAATGAAGAAAAAAAAACAGGAAATCCTGGCTAAAAACTTTGCAGTTTGCAAGAAACCTGAGACTAGGGAGAAGAGTTGACTTTTAGCAAGGCAATTGCCCGAAGCACAAAACCAAAAACTACACAGGATAGCATAAAAACAACAGAATTAATGTCCTAGAAGGGCAGAGTCAGAGTCTAGATCTCAGTTCAATAAAGGGTTTATGGCTGTACTTGAAAATAGCAGTTCACTTGCAATAAACCTAAAAGAGTGGCAGCAATTCTGCAGAGGACCAGGTAAAGATTTGTCTTAGATGTGCAAATATGCACAAAAAAGACCGCTATTGTGACAAAAGCTGCATGTACTAAACACTGATGTGAAGGGCAGTATACTTATGCAATCAGTTATTTTGTGTTCTTAAATTGTAATGATTATAAATCACTTTTCAGAGATCTGTTCTCACTTTTAAATTAAAGAGCCTATTTCTGTTGAAAAAAATATACAAATCAGACCCAAATAGATTCCAATTTTAGATACATAGTTTAGACCTTGCTGCAGGAAGGTCCTCTGTTCTCTAGTTGAGAGGACGTTGCTGCAGCCTCTGAGCTTTTTGTTAGCTGTATATTGAGAACAGTTTTGTTCCCAAAGAACAGCCATTAGAGGCTCTTGCCAAAATGACTCTAAATATTAAGAAGGTTACTGTCAAAAGCAAAAAAAAGCCATGTTATGACTGTCAGCCATATCCTTGCTTACTCAACCATCATCTATCTTTCGAGACTTCAAATTTCTTCACACTTTTCTAGAACTTCTGCTTCTCTTAATGCATACTTCCTTTCCACTTAACGTTTTGGTCCTATTCTACATATTATACAAGACAGTTATACAAGCAGAAGCAACTTGAAAGATCCATCCCTAAGTGCCACCTGTAAGACAAGCACTTGAAACAATCATGCATCTATCACCATCTACAAGAGACCTGTAAAGATGGCTAATCTGCCGTCCGTGAGATACGATGTTTTAGACCATGCAGATACTAATGTTTTAAAAGACACAAGTATGAATACAAATCAAAAACCACAAGCAGGAGACACAATCTTTAATTCTGTTTAACTTGCAAATAAACCAGCAGTGAATCATGTATCTAGCAATCCTGTAAAGCAAAAAACACAATAAAACATATCTCCCTTTGTTTAGAAGAATGCTTTTATTTGCTTGCAACTCCCATAATCTATGAGTGCTTTACAAGAGTCAGGATTAAGTTATTAAATATAATGCAAGTGCAAAGTACCAAAATAGCCCACACAATGCCTAACACAAAACATAAGACAGTCACGTAAAACCCCATCAATTAACTTTTCCTATCTGCCCCCTTTTGGTCTGTTACAGATGCTGCAAACAATGCCTGTGATTCTGCCAGAAATCCAGTTATCCCCTAACTTTCTCAGACTATAGGACAACTCTCCCCTATGTTATGAAGAGGAAAATAGGGGTGGGCGACAAGATCACTTATCCATTAATACAGCACAGGGAGCAAGTAATGTCAACCAAGGACATTACTGGTCCTTGTAATGTTACTGGTGTTCCTTGGCGTGTTACTGGTAGGATCTTCAGGTGAGAATAAAAAAAAAAAATAAAGAAGAAAAACTAGTGAAGCCATGACACCAAAAGAAATAGAAAACTGCAATATATAACATTTTTGTCCTTGGGGTTTTATTTCGTATGAGCCGATTGCCTACAGATACTAAATGACATCCAAGTCCAGTTACTTACATCAATTATTTTAAGTAACACGGTCTTTAAATTTGAACTTGAAGTTAAAAGCAAAAACGTACAGTTAAAATATACATTTGTGATATCCTCCCAAAGGAATTCTGTTAAACTAGGTTTGTAATTTCGGCACAACTGCTAGACAACACAACCAGGCCCTAATCTCCCTAACAGACTACAATGCATCGAAGCATATTCTAGAACCCTACTCAGCCTGTTACTGGACAATAAGGGAACGGCAGCACACTTATGAGAGCTTTACTCTCCCTTAAGCATGTTGAAACAAAGTGGACTGCTTAAATCTGTGAAAACCTGATAACATTTTAAAAATTCTGTTTTTTTTTCCTTTTTTTTGAGTTTTTGATTTGCCCTTACAATAAATTGTATTAAAACGGTCAATTTATTGCCCAGTTTCATCTTCACAATTGACTGAATTCTTGTGGTTGATCATACTCATGGGTGGTTGGCAGATTACTTTTACTTGAGACTACATGTAATTGTTAGACAGACAGTGGCTGGAATGAATATAAAATTGCCATGTTTATGGTCAGTTTATGAAGGAGAAAAATGCAAGGGCAGACCGCAATGTAAAAAAAAAAACAAAAAAGTTATTTGGTGCAAATATATACTGGTGAACTACATACTGAAATATATAACTGCTGTATATTCTGCCGTATACTGTGATAGAATGGCTTGGTGTTCTGATGCTCAACAAAGCTTGGCTCCACCACCTCTTGCCATGGTGGGCAGATTAGTATGGAACAGGCTTTGGGGACTCCCTCCCCCCCATTCACCTATTTAGGCTGACGGTGTAGAAGAAAACACTGAAACGTTAACATACAGTTAGGTCCATATATATTTGGACACAGGCACGATTTTCATTTTTTTCAGGTATTTACCAAAACATATAGTTATACAATAGATATGGGCTGAAAATCTACACTCTCAGGTTTAATTTGAGGGTATGTACATTCAAATTGGAGGAAGGGTTTAGGAATTACAGCTCTTAAGAGCAGCCATCCCCCCTTTTTCAAGGGACCAAAAGTAATTGGACAATTGAATCAAAAGCGGTTTCATGGCCAGGTATGGGCTACTACTTCGTTATTTCTTCATCAATTAAGCAGGTAAAAGGTCTGGAGTTAATATGTGTGGTATTTGCATTTGGAATCTATTGCTGTGAACCTACATCATGTGTTCAAAGGAGCTGTCCATGCAAGGGAAACATCATTGTAAGGCTTCAAAAATGAAACAAATCCATCAGAGAGATAGCAGCAACATTAGGAGTGGCCAAATCAACAGTTTGGTACATTCTGAGGAAAGAAGAACGCACTGGTGAGCTCAGCTACATGGACGTCCATGATCGCAGGATCCTCTCTATGGTAAAGAAAAACTCATTCACAACATCCAGACAAGTGAAGGACACTCTCCAGGAGGTGGGCGTATCATTGAAAGTCATTTGGAATCTATTGCTGTGAACCTACATCATGAGTTTCATGGAGCTGTCCATGCAAGTGAAACAGGCCATTGGAAGGCTTCAAAAATGAAACCAATCCATCAGAGAGATAGCAGCAACATTAGGAGTGGCAACATCAACAGTTTGGTACATTCTGAGGAAAGAACGCACTGGTGAGCTCAGCAACATGGACGTCCACGGAAGACAACAGTGGTGGATTATTATTATTATACAAGATTTATATAGCGCCAACAGTTTGATCGCAGGATCATCTCTATGGTAAAGAAAAACCCATTCACAACATCCAGACAAGTGAAGGACACTCTCCAGGAGGTGAGCGTATCATTGTCAAAGTCTACAATCAAGTGAAGGCTTCATGAGAGCAAATGTAGGAGGGTTCACCACAAGGTTCAAACCATTCATAAGCCTGAAGAATAGAAAGGCCAGATTAGACTTTGCCAAAAAACACCTAAAAAAGCCAGACCAGTTCTGGAAAAGCATTCTTTGGATGGGTGAAACTAAGATTAATCTGTACCAGAATGACGTGAAGAAAAGTGTGTGGGGAAGGCTTAGAACAGCTCATGATCCAAAGCACACGTCATCTGTAAAACATGGTGTAGGCAGTGTGATGGCATGGGCATGCATGGCTTCCAGTGGCACTGGGTCATTGGTGTTTATTGATGATGTGACAGAAGACAGAAGCAGCCGGATGAATTCTGCATTGTTTAGAGATACACTGTCAGCCCAGATTCAACCAAATGCAGCAAAGTTGATTGGACGGCGCTTCACAGTACAGATGGACAATGATCCAAAACACACTGCGAAATCAACCCAGGAGCTTTTGAAGGAAAAGAAGTAGAATATTCTGCAATGGCCGAGTCAATCACCTGAGCTCAACCCAATTGAGCATGTATTTCACTTGCAGAAGGTAAAACTAAAGGCAGAAAGACCCACGAACAAAGAACAACTAAAGACAGCTGCAGTTAGAGCCTAGCAAAGCATCAGAAAGGAGGAAACCCAACCTTTGGTAATGTCCATGGGTTCCAGACTTCAGGCAGTCACTGCTAGTAAAGGATGCTCAACAAAATATTAAAAATGAACATTTTATTTATGATTATATTCATTTGCCCAATTACATTTGAGCCCCTGAAAATGGAGGGACTGTGTATAAAAATGGTTGCAGTTCAAAAAATTTGTACTTGATATTTATGTTCAACCCCTTGAATTCAACTGAAAGTCTGCACTTCAAATTCATTTGGTTTAATTTTGATGTATTCTGGTGGCGTACAGAGCAAAAAGTATGAAAATTGTGCCTGTGTCCAAATATATATGGACCTAACTGTACCCCACTCCCATCACAAGGAGACCACACTGCCTGCTACCCGTCATGCTCCCAAGATTCCAGTTGTAGACTTAATGATTTCTCTTCTCTCCGATTTTTTTAGAGCAATACATGTCATTAATTGTACCAAATGAATGCCATCCCTGTGCGCCCTTCTTTTTCCTGTGTATCAGAGTGACCCATCTGCATTCTAGGAGCAGCAAGGCTAAGCAGTACATTACAGAATACTTTTTAAAACATCACCCTTTCACGACAGGAATTTTTATATGATATTTAGATCTTATTCTTTTCTACCTAAAGAAGGGTAGGTGATTTGACAGTCCAGTTAAAAACTTCAATTCCTTTATGCAAACTGCAAGGTAAAAGAATTTCATTTTGTAACTTCCAAATCAGTACAAGCCTTTTCCATTATCAAGATGGAGTTTAGAAGTGTGGGGGGGGGGGGGGTAATCATACATGCAGAGAATAAGGAATGGTATGTTACCTGGAAGTATGTAATTGGTTCTTGCTGAGAGGATTTCAATTTGCGCAGCCGTTCTTTATCCATACGCAGATCTGTTTTACAACCAATCAACACTATAGGCACCCCTCTGCAAAAGTGATGCACTTCAGGATACCACTGAAAAAGAGCAAAACAGATGATCTACAACATAAAATCACAAATCATTTAGTAAACCCTGGCACTAGCTTATCATGGATGCTCATACAAATGATGGAAAGTGATGGCTCACTGGCCAAAATGAGTTGCTAGTAATTTCGAATTCTGTAAAACAGACAAGTTTGCTGGGCCCAAATATGACCAATAATCGAGTTCACTTCAAATAGGGGTTGACTCTGATGCGGACACAAATGATTTCAGTAGGTAGAGGAAGGGAAAGACAGATGTGTAGCCTCTAACCTAGATGTGTTATCTGTATTGAGTGGAAGTGGAAATGAAGAATATAGTTTTAAAGCACAATACCCAGTGGAATTGTGTCAGGAAGGTGTGTTGGATTAATATGGCAACCTCAATCCATAGGTATGTGACATTAACATGTATGAATGAATTGTGTTGTGGTATGTCAGTCCAGACCCAACCAAAGTTTAACTTTCATTGAGACATATGGGACATTGCATACCTAACCACTGTATCAGCAGTCACACCCAGTTTTCTTCCTGACATTATCGGATTTAGATAGATAACTACCAACAAATCTCTCTCCAGACTGCTATATGCAAGAGATAAAAACTGCTAATTATAGCAAAGAACCTTTATAGTAACAAAAATCTGTACAGTGGCGACAGCCCAACCTGAGCTGTCAAACAAGAATAACCTAAGATGTCTAACAAGGATATTTTATATAGAAAGACAAGATTACGCACAAATTCCCTGCTCTACAGATAGGACTAAGCTAACTGCCATCTCTACCATCTTCCCTATACAGAATGAACCTGTTTGGATAGAAATATGGGAGTGAACGCTGTTGATGCTTGGTGGTGGTCATCCTTATCCCTCCTACACTACTAAGCGAGCAAGTCAATGACTTGAAAAATAGTATGTGCATATCAGCGGCCCTGAAACCTGATGTACCAAGAATTACCAAGAAGTAAAGAAATGACAACAGCCCTGGAGAACACATCTTTAAATGCACATCAGCAACAGCCATTCCCCTGATTGTATGCTAAACAGATTCTCTTTACAGCAGAAGTTCAGACAAATATAATTGAAAATAAATACATGTGAACTATTTTACCAGTTCAAGGATTTCTGATTGAGTTCATTCAGCAGAGCCAGGTAGGTGACACCACTATACCCTGGTCCAGCTTTTTAGTTTTCCTTGTATCCTCTCTGCTTCCAGCCTAGTAACTGGATTATAAATCAACATCATCACACTGCTGATCCCTTGTCCAATGAGCATGAATGTGACACAGGAAGCTGTAAAGCTGAACCAGAAAATAGAGTTATCTTCCTGGTTATTAAAGTGGTTGTAAACCCTTACATATACCCAGTGAAGTGACTGGCCTCAAGTGATACATAGATAAAACAAATTCTTCTACATAAGTTTTTTTTTTTTTCCATAATATTTATTGAAGAGCTCAGAGCATACAGCGGGTACAAGCATCACGAGAGCAGAAATGCATACAATGGATGACAAAGTATACGCAACAATTAGCGTATTATGGAACATTATCAGAGCATTATAAATAATAAGAGGTGAAGGAAGGCACAACAGGTCTCAGTTCCTCAAACAGCCTGATGGAGTCGCAACACTGGCAGAAGTATTAATCTGAAGCATCGATTACAGAGGCCGATGAAGGGGCAATGGTATGAGAAAAGCATAATGACAGTATGTATGATGATCGCAGGAAAGTGTGTATAGAGGCAAATAATACTTAGCCCCTTATGGTATGTTGTTGAGGTAACCCAAAAGTAGCAGTCGGTGTCCATGTGATAAGCAAAGGGAACAGGAGACGACGTGGTTGGAAAACAAATAGATGAAAGCATTCCAGCAGGTGGGCAATGTATCCGAAGTTAATGAAGAGGAAAAATGGAGAAGGCTCTGAGCAGGGTAGGGAATTAGTAGGGAGAAAGAGAAAAAAGAAAAAAAAAAAAAGGGGGGGGGGGGGGGTGGAAGGGGAGCAAAGAAGGGAGGGGGAGGAAGGGGGGAGGGAGGTTCTACATAAGTTAACGGTCTATCTACAGCCATCTATTACATCCATTCAAAGTGCAAAATGTACACAGGATCTCCCAGCTCTGAAAAGCAGCAGGTGGAGAGCTGGAATTACATCAGTGAGGAGAGCTCTGACAGCTGATTGGAGGGAAGAGACGCACCCCCTCCAAACAGCATACCAAAACAGAGCTGAGGCTGTCAGTCTGCTTGAGGTCCGTTCTCTGTCACCATTTTTCTCTTGGTGTCAGAAAAACTTTGTGACGGGAGTGAATTTTGGGGGTGGGGGGACCCCTGTCTCAGCTCCCTATGTTCCCATTATGTGTAAGTCACCCTGTGCCTGTTAGGGGTACAGGGTGAAATGTTCTAATATTGGTGGGGGGATTGTTCATTGTTCTCTGCCATGCGGCTGCATCCCATTGTTCTAGCAAACTATTATGAGATGTAATGTTTGTGTATTGGTGTGGGGGTTGTTCATTGTTCACTGCCATGTGGTGCATCCCATTGTTCTATTGTGTGTCTTGCTTGGGATGGGATGTAATGTTTCCGGCAGCCCTTCCCCCTGATGGGACGGCCTGCTGATGTGTTTCCTGTTTTGGGTGTGTATTTCCCCACCCTGTGTATATATCTTGTATCTGTGTTAAAATAAAGGAGTCCATTTCCTGTCTTTCATACAAGTCTGGTGCTGTTTCGTCTTATTTGGTCAGCGGTGGTGTCCATGGATCTGTGTTCGGACAGGGAAGCAGCAGTTTAACGGAAATACCCTAGTGCAGTCCTGGGTCCGGTTCCGTTACAAACTTGTCAGAAGTGAATCTTGCTTATAGCAGAGGAACGAAGCAGCAAAGAGAAATAACAATTCGTGCTCGGGATTGAGAGAAGCAAAAACACTACAGAAAGATATGCTTTGTTCATATTTCATGTCTGAGGTTTACAACCACTTTAAGTGTGAATCACAAAAACTGGCTGAACAGAATTTATAATTCATATGACAGGTAAACCGGTCTGCATGCATATTTGAAATGTATGTTTAGCAGTTTTTCTGGAGTTTACCTTTAAGTGCCAGGAAATATCACAGCTATACCTTGTTCAGTCAGACTACTTCTACATATTCTGCACAAGCTTTAGTGAATCCCACACAAAGTGTTAACTGTGCTCCATTCATTCTGCAATAACTAGAGATTAGATCAAGTGGAATACAAATAGCCATAGCCACATTTACTCCCCCCTAAACTATTCACTGAGCAATACACAATTTGGAGCCTCAGAACAAAATGTTTGCTAGAATATAGAATGTGAACAGTATTTCAATGCAACCCAAACAGCATAAATGTGTTAAACTGCCTAATGTTACAGATCTTCTTTATTGCCTGATCAGCATCTGACAGTCACGGGCAGACTGGTGACAATTTCCTTTTGTTAAAATTTCTCAATATATTTACATCCTTTCTGAACTCCTTTTCTCTTTCCCAAATGTTTCCACTTTCATAATCCTGTACCTTACTTCCCTCATACACTTTGATGGTAAGGGGCTCATATCTGGTAATTGAAGCTGATCCCAGAATGAATAATCATCTAGTTGTACTCTGCTAGTCTGACATACAGAGGTGAGGAGGAGGCATGAATTGTGCCCGAAAGCAAGATAAACATTTAGAATTACTAGACCAGTCTTACCTTAATTAAAACATTGTCAAAGCTGGTAGGGCTTGTAACATCATAACAAATTAAAACCAAATTAACATCTTGATAGGAGAGGGGACGCAGCCGGTCATAATCTTCCTGTCCTAAAATAAAAGTTAAGATGTGTTACGTAACATTCCATTGTACACACAGTACTGAGGTTTTATTACAAATAATTATACTAGGAGTGAATCATGTGTGAAAAACAGGTCTGGCATTAATACTCATCTAAACAAGCAATCTGACCCATCCTCCAATCAGAGTCACTGTCTGCTGCTTGAGTCCACCTTGGAGCTGAGTGTAGCTAGCCCACAGAAGCAGATGCACAGTATCTGCGTTCAGCTCTGTGCAATCACTCCTGCCCGCATGTCAAATTTTGACGTGATTGTGTCTGTGCAGCCGTTGTGTGTACATACATCTTCATGGGCTGACTGTACACAGTTCTGAGGTGGATTCACACACAGCAGATAGTGACTCCAATTGAAGGACAGATCTGCTCACTTGTATGAATAAGCCCTGAAGCATAAAACAGCACACGCCTGTGCATGTGACCAAGATTTAACAAACACTAACCAGCAACAGTGGTTTTAGAACAAAAACAGCAGATCCTCATTCTGGGCCTATAAATTTGGCTGGTGTGAGCTGGATGCTCATTTTACATTCAAAATGATGAAAAGTTTATTTTATCAGGACGTGTACTCTCTGCCCACAATTCTCGTATCTCCGTTCTAATCTAACCAAAGGAAAACAATAGGCCCGAAGTAAAAGTAAAAAATAAATGGGTGAAGGTAAACAGGGAACAAGTAAATAGAGGGTTACCAGCTAAAATCAGGAGATAGGAAGTTACATACTAGGATTGCTGCGTTTGAAAGTTTAGGAGGGGCTTCAAAAGGTGTCTAGGTGGGATTAAGAAAACGTCAAGCAGTGTCAAGCCAAAGGACAAAGAAGAAACTTTCCACCCTCCTGCCCAGCTATATCGATTGGCGTTCCACAGTGGTCGATGTTGTCTGGCGGGTGGGATCTTTGGAGGTGTTCAGAATTAACAGTGATATCACATACTAGGGACCAATCTATAGTCTACCCTCTGTAGAATTCCAGTTAATGTTGGATTAACTGGGAATTTGTGACATGGAGGTATCTGCAGAGAGTTGGGATTGTACAACTACTTAAAGGTCCCCTTTTGCTGCTGGGAAACCTTAAAAAGCATTACTACACCCCAGAC